TAGGTGCTGCCTCTAATGACACCAACACCAATTTCGGTACAATGGCAGCAATGCTTGCACAACGTACAACGACACTGCAACAAAGGATTCGGGCAGCATGGGATCTAGTTAGGCAGTTGCCGTTCGTGGACAATCAAAGGGTTGGTCATTAGAGGGTGACAAACTTTGAAATTTTTATTCTTCGCGGGGTTGGTGAGATAGGAAGTCAAGTGGAAGCTGATGAACTGCAGTTGCAGTTGGTGCTGCTTACCACACGAGCCCCTGGAGATCAAAAGAAAAAATGGCCAACCAAACGGTCCACCCGTACATGGCTGATAATTTGGTGCCCCACTTGTCTAGATTGGTAAAAGCATTGACCAGCATCGATCAGCAGTTCGGTCAGCTCCAAAAACTCATCAAATAGGCTGAATGCACTCAGAGGACCACTACGACTTTGGGTGGAAGTATAACGCGTGGCGCTTCCCAAAAGGGATTGATGGATCATTGACATCAGAAGCTTCATCCACGGTTTTTTTGTGCTGACAGGCAAACTGGAACGCTAGTTAAGTAAGGTTGGGGGATTCTCAGAACTCCTACTTGTCTACTCTGGTATTTCTCCATGGTTTTCACCTGCTCTATTACACATTTCAATCCATAACCATATTTACCGCTGATACCTGGCCATCCTTGCACGGCGACGAGTTTGACTTAAAGGCACGGATCAGGTATCGAAGTTGAAAATATGGCGTCAGGAGGTTAGAGTGGTCCGCGACGAACAACCTTGTACCGGTTTCGCGGCAAAAAATTCTATGGGAGGGGCGCTGTAGCGCAATATAGGTTCAGTGGCTCCTCCTTTTTTCCAGTGACTCCGCCTCCAGACTCCGCCCCTAATGACCGACTTCCAGTGAAAAATGAGATTGCAGGACGAAAAAGCATGATAATCGCCACTTGTACGATCGTAGAAATCTTATCGGTGAATCAGCCGTGCATATGAGGGGGAGATAGAGTTGATTGGGCACGTACAAACTGGGATCGAAATCAGGTTCTATCTAGGGCAAGTGGCATGTTTTTTAGGCTGCGTTTATACTTTGCGGCAGCGTAGCGTAGCGCTTCCAGCGTACGCCAGCGGCAGTGTCGGGGAAAGGATAGATATCGATCTAGCGTTCCCAGCGTCACCAGCGTACGCTAGCGTGCCGCTAGCGCACGCTAGCGCACGCTGGCGTAGCGAGGGCACGGGAAGCATAGCTATCGATCTAGCTTCACCAGCGTTTCTCCAGCGTTTTCCCAGCGCTTGCAGCGACGGGGCTAGAGGGGCTAGAGAGTATTGAAGGGAGGAGAGTATTTTGTACTCTCCTACTTTCAATATAGCGCTTGCAGCGACGGGGCTAGAGAGTATTGAATGTAGGAGAGTACAAAATACTCTCCTCCCTTCAATACTCTCTAGCCCCTCTCTAGCCCCGTCGCTGCAAGCGCTGGGAAAACGCTGGAGAAACGCTGGTGAAGCTAGATCGATAGCTATGCTTCCCGTGCCCTCGCTACGCCAGCGTGCGCTAGCGTACGCTGGTGACGCTGGGAACGCTAGATCGATATCTATCCTTTCCCCGACACTGCCGCTGGCGTACGCTGGAAGCGCTACGCTACGCTGCCGCAAAGTATAAACGCAGCCTTATGCTTTTTTGTTCACAGTCGAGTTACTCAACCACTTGTCGTCTATATGGAACCTCCTAATCCACTATCTGAGATGGCGAGTAATCGCGGGTTCTTCCTTTAATGTTACTGCCTCACGACTCTTTGGAATATCCCGATGAGATCACAGACTATTCCACTTGATTTTTTTTATCTATGAGAGGTGAGATACATTTGCAGAACTCCTACTGAACCAACCTATTCAGATCGGTTGCATTGGTTTCTGCTTTGGAGGTCTCACCTGTTTGGATTTGGCCAGATTCGACGTTGGCCTCAAGGCAGCTGTTTCTTTCCATGGAACTTTGACTAACTATCCAGGAAACAACACGTAAGCATTTAAGCATCATATAAGTAATAGTCACATAAATAATCTTGTAGGCCAATCGAAGCGTCAATTCAAGCTCATCACGGTGACATCGATCCCCACACCACCAACGCAGATGTAAGATTCGATTAATAAGCAATGAATAATCCGCAAATGAAAACAAGGATCAAAAGCACTTTCCTCGATAAACAGAGAGGCGGAGGTTATGGGACCACTGTGCCTTCTCACTTTGCGTTCTCCCTCTAGCAATAATTTGGTAAGGAGCAAAGCTCGCAAAAGAGGTTGTTCACCGAGTACAAGTAGTGCGAGTATAGCTTACGCTTGCAAAGCTCGCATAAAGACGGTTGTGTCACCGAGCTACAAGTAGTGCGGAGTATGACGTGTCTTCAATTTATGAGCATCTCGCGGCTACCTTTCCAATAGAATGGTTTTCGAGGATTAATTTTATTGTGAGAAATTTGTGACTTCCCGCACAATACTATCTAGAGTAAACATCATGGTTTGCCCTTCACATGACTTGCGCCGTTATTCAGCGTAACAAGAGAGAGAAAAGGTTCAGCCGAATGTTGCCATCAAATTCGGGGCTACTAATTGAGAAATTATTACCATAATGTAACGTAAAATTAATACTAAATTTTAAAGGCGGAGTCGTTCAAAGAAGAAATGCGAGAGAGAAATGCGGACTGGTTCTTCACTTCATATTCGAATGCCATGCATGCTTTCACACTACCAGGTTAGTCCAATCGAAAGTTACCGTGGCATATGGGTCAAAGCCAACTATCACACAAACAAGAATTTTCAATACTTCGCTTTATAGCACCTTGTCGCATAACACCGGAATACAGCTATGTACACTCCATATCCCAGAGATGGAGAGGGCGTGGTTGTGTGCTCCATTTGGACTGGTATACGGACACGTTCAGCTTAATTCCTCCACTCGCGCCATCATTCTGATCACTGTGAGCACACAGCTTCGCACGCATGATATGTGGCTCATCCACCCCGGAGCCGGCTTCCTTGTAACCCTCATCCCTAGCTCGCGGCACGTTTTTGTATCTTTCGATAGTCTACGGACAATCTAAACTTGATCCTTTTGGTCACGTCAAATTTCTGTTTTTCTCTGCGCTCTCAGTTCTGCATGACACTCTGACAATGAAGCCACTGTGACCTCACCCACTAGATAAATAATAAATGACCATCTACCACGGAGTGCTCATCCTCTGGCTCGCAACATTTTTCTTTTTGCCCTCCCCAATGGGTTGGTAATCACGGTCCTGTAATTCCCTGCGCACTAGCCTTCAGAGCCAGGACCCCCACCGATTGTTCTAGTTGTCACGTAACCACTTGGACGTGAAGATGCGTCTTGCGTGGGATAACATCCAAAATCCTTGAGATGCGGTTAGCGTGGCTACGTACATCAACAGAATGTAGCGGTGGCTTGCAAAGAAATTACACAGCTAGCTTGGTCGTATCTTTGTCCAGCACAGATAACGGTTGCCTCCTGAAATACATCTAACCCATTCATGACATGTTCAAATGCCACGCCTCTCAACTATGAGGATGTACACTTGACAGCAATAAAAAGACGCCTCTCAAATATGAGGATGTACACTTGGCAGCAATAAGAAGATCCTACTAGACGTGTGGTCGACGCAACGCTCGAACGAAGGATCCAGCTATGCTGTTCCCATCTTTGAGTTATGGGATGCAGCTTTATTCTGAAGGCTTTAATCATAGGTCATATGAAAGTATGCAATCCGGTTCCATTCGTACTTGAAACCTGAGAAGCACCCAACTAAAGAATAGGAAAATGGCGAAACGCAAACGTGCTGATGATATAAGCTGATTCTTCTATTCTACCAAAGCACTAACACTACGTGACTCAATTCTACTACTCTTAGCGAGCTGGCCCGTTCCTCAACTCATCATGACCCCTGAATGAAGTCCCCCCCCTCAAAACTTTTATAGGTCGGTAACCAGAAAAAGTACAGTTTTCAACGTTTCAAAATTGTTTACACCAACCCTGGTTTGTGTTCCCAGAGGAAGTTCTGTGATATAGCAAAAACCTTGGAAATTTGTTCTCATGGAGATCGAACCAAAATATTTTTTGGCTCTCCCGAAGTCCCTAATGAAAGCAGACCCCGTTCCAGGTGTTTCATTGCTCTGACTATGAAGCAAGCAGAAAATTGCTTTGTAAGGGCCTTTCACGTTTTGATTGACCTAATTCGTAGGGAGTGCAGGAATTGATGAATCGGTTCTGTTTAAGGAGTCGAGAATTGGGGAATCCCAGGAGCTGCTTATAATGAAAAAGCGGATAAACGATCGTGGACTGCCATGCAGACGTTCTTGGCTGAGAAACTTCTATGAAGAATTCGTTGGAAAAGGCTCAATTCCAGAACTTCACTCTGTTACTCTAACTTATTGATTCTGCAAATCAACATTCGTGTCTTAATAAACGATGACGATTTTGGTTTGGTAGCGTGATTGCTAGATAACAAGGCCGGAAAATACAGTGGTAGTGCCAAGGCAAGAAAAAGTAAGGCAGTCCACACTCAACAGGGGAAAAACTCGGCAATTGTTCCACCCTTCTCTGCCACAGTTTTCGAATTTTTGGGGTCAAAACTTTGGTTTGGCCTGCAAATTTGTCCACAACGGTAGTACGACCCCTTGAGTACGATTATCGCATTCGCTTGGCACGAACCACCTGGCTTCCCCGCCACAGGCGGACATTCATTGAGACCGGCGTGGACCCCAAGCGGTTTCGCGCCAAGCGGAATGTTACTTTAGCTAGGGCCACTCGGACAGTCAAGGGCTTTCTGTCGACTGCAATGATAGACAAGGGTGCACCCTTCCTGGCTGCCCGTTATAGTGGCCCCTTCCTTTACTAAGGCTCAGCTTCAGGAGAGGAAGGGATCACTATCTCTAAGAAAGTGTGCGGGCGACAGAGCACGTCCTACGTTGGGGACGTGCCCCAGCGGGGAGGTGGTCGCATTTGTTGGTTCGCCTGACGGAAGGCCGCATCTGGTCTTCAAAAATGCTGTTGATGGTTGATTTTCCTATTTCACGGACGCAATTTACATCGTTGGGAAATATTCAATGTGAAGGGTGTCGTATTTGCTCGTTGCTGGAGCCTGGGGGAGATGGTCGTGTTCGCCTTGAAAGATATTTGCCGTATTGCGAAAACTTTTTTTCGGTTGTTCCACTCGATGGCAAAACTCTTGAGAAAAAAAAACTGGAAAAGTCTTCGGAAATTTGGGAGAATGGGGGAGGATGCGGGGAAATTCGGAGGGTGGGGAAAGGGAGGTGAGTCGAAGCGAAGGACGAAACCGTAGGGTCGCATTCACCGAAAACTGTCCCCAGTTATCGTGCCCTGGCGGGCGAGCAGAAAGGACCAAAAAGAAAAAGACCGCCATGTGTCTCTCCTCCATAATATCTTTTGCGCCATGAGCACGTAAGTGAATGTTTTGGGGGAAGAATGTAATTCGGCAACAAGTTTCGAGGGGCCGGCGCGGTATCGGCACCATTTTTGCAATTTTTGCAAGGCATGGTTTGTGCCTCGGCAGGGATCGAACTCGTGGCTCAGAGTGCGAACAGAGTCTAGGCTCCTTAAACAATCGGCTCTCCCTGCCTTAGCGAATTTGACAATATTAGTCATTTTCGCGCCAGAGCCAGGCGGTTTCGCAGCGGATGTGATATTTGTGTTTCAGGAGGTTGAACAACCTGAGGACAAATTCCAGCGAATGTTTGATTTATGTGAGACTTTGACGCCGATGCCTGTGACGTTGGGATGTGATACGTGTAGAGAGAGCCAAAGCACGAACAGAGAAATTCGGTGAAAAGGTGACCCGATTTTTGAGGAGTGGTTCAGTAAAGGATGAAGTGCCAGAAGTAACACATTACTGAATGACTGAGGAAAGAAAGTAGTCGCGGCCGAGTAAAGCCAGGTAACTGAAATTATTTATCTAATGAGTTCGGCCTTAGTTGACAGTACTCGTTATTGAAGGAGATGATGCAGCAGCAAGCAGTGTCATTGAAGCAGTACAAGGGCTTCGCAACGGCAGCATTTCGTTACGCGTACAACGCGATCGGCCGTACGAGCGATCGCTCGTACGCGCAGTTGATTCCATCGCGCTCATGCTAAAATTGAATGAACCGCTGCTGCTTCGAACACACATGATTCTGGAGATTGGAAGAGGGAAAAACGGAGACACACAAAGTCCAACCTCTGCGCAAAACAGACGCAAGAAACTACCCAAAAAGAGGCTCAAGGAAATTTTGTATGAAACGAAAGAATAATGAAGAGAAACAACAAAAACCACATAGAAAAAGAGCCATGCTCATTGAAAAAATTCGCTGAAATCTTTATTCCTCGTGAACTAGCCCTGCTCGAGCATATATTGCAGTTCGTCTACAATTCGGCATGGAAATCACGAGGGACCTTCGTGAGGGGGGGCTGTATTTGGGCATTTTCCTGTACGGTGAAAGTCAATAACCGGGCATGTCATCGTAAAAGAGAGAGTGGCTGCGTATGACCAGAAGTAACTACAAATATTTCGATCACTACCTATTCCACGAGATATTCTCTGCTGCGGACATGTTAAGGATACTGATAACTACACATGAATTTCAAGTTTCATAACAACTTTTATTACATACTAAGATTTGCGAAACTACGGGAGAAAAGTACTCAGGACAGTGGCATCATAGCACCTAGTAAAATGAATAGTTACGAAGTGATAAACACAAAAAAAAATGGAAACGCTGTTCGGATACGGAAAAGAAGAGAGACATTTTTCATGCCAAGAGGCGTGCGGTGCATCACCTGTATCACCTGTGCTCCCGTTGATCATCGAGTTCCTCGAGCGGGCGCCAGTAACGTCTCCATTCGTCCCTGCAACGTGCAAGAGTTGCCCAATGAACTCTCTCAGCTCGAGGGACACGATGAACTTCATACCATTCGTTCAGAGCTTTCACGAAGAAGTCTGACCATCGCGTAGGCGGTCTTCCAGGCGTTCGCTTGACATCCCGTGGAATCCAGTCGGTGATTGCTCTGGTCCAGCGGTCGTCCTCGAAACGCATGACGTGTCCGGCCCACCTGATCTTCGAAACCTTGGCAAATGCGGCGGCGTCTCTGATCTTCGATCGTTGGCGGAGTGCGGAGCTTCGGATTCCTTCTCTCATTTGCGTGTAGCGGGAAACTTCGAGCATCGTCCGATGGCGCG